ATGTCCTACTTGCAACCGACCGACGAATGTAACCTTGAATCCTGTTGCATTTGGCCACTGTCGCTTGCGCGTGGGAGGAAAACTTGAGGTCCTCGTCGATAGAAACTCCTAAATCTCTCTCTCCGTTTGCCTCATCCAATTTAATATCGCCGAACGTGTCGAGAGACCTACCGTCGTTTCGACCGACGTGGAGAACTTCACATTTACTTTTATTAAACCTCATAAGCCATTTCTTGCTCCACTTGTCCAAAAGACTTAAATCTCGCTCGGCTCTAGCCCTATCCGCCTCCCCCCCTTATGGTAAAACCTATCTTGGTGTCGTCGGCAAACATTTTTCCGTTTCATAATGCGTCCAACGTCCAATTAGTACATAGTGCATCGACTCGGCAAATTCTTTGAAGATTACCGCCACGAAGCGAGTCGTCGCATGGACGTCTCGCATAAATCCGGCAGACGTCCACACGATGCGACCAGTCTCACGATCGTGCATCACTGGACTCGAATAGAACGTCATCGGGTCACACCCGAGGGGCGTTTTGCCGGGTTTTTGGCGTGACGCCATGAAGACGCAAGCGCCGGCCTTTCGGCCGTCTCCCTCGGACCGAATATCTGCACGGAAATCCCGTTGAGTCCAAGAACTCTCACTGCAAAGACGTAAAAATGACGGATCGGTCGATGGAACGTGAGGCTCGATCGCCCTTTAAGCCGGTACCGGCGAAAGAGCCTTGAAATCCGAGGCGATCGGGAGATCACACGATTTGCAAATTTGTACACGTGACGATGGAATCATTTCGGGATCGAGACACGAGGAATCTCCTCGCCGATCCACGGCGGCCGATTCGGGTTCAGGCAACTGCGGACGAAAGCGAACTCGGCACCGATGCCGAATCGCACCATCGAACCACACAACTTAAAATAATAATAGAAATAAAAAATAAAATGGCAGACACTCACTTGCGAACGACGAGCGACGAAGACCCACCCGGTCCGAGCCGACCGACGCAAAGCGACGTGACCCGCACGCCGCACAGCACGTAGCAGCCCCGGGGCAGAAGTGAAGGAAAGACCGAGGGATCGCACTGGCCTCGCCCTGGCGAGGATGAGCCGGGGGCCCGCGTAGGGCTCTGGTGTCGTTTACGTTCCCTTATCACCCCGGTCGATGATTCATCGGAGCTCGTTTGGCTTCTGGGGTATGCCGGGTGAGACATAGAAATCGCACCGTCTTTGATAATGTGCGGCTTTCATGATTCAGCAATTAGGAAACAATAAGGATGAGTGAAAAGGTTGTACGAAGGGTGAAGAAATGCACTTGGTGGCGCCTGCCCACCAATCTTCATCCCCTCCTTAAGAGACTTTAAGAGGTCATCGTATGGGGGATCGTGTCCTTTTAGAACTCACCGTCGGGAAGAAGGCTGAAGTGAATGCTCTTGGGGGTAGAGAGCATCAGAGTCGACTCAGCCTCCCTCCAGGTCATTCTCAGGAGTGAACAGCCGACAAGAAACGCGACATCCCTTCCGCGCCTCCCTTGCCCCGGGGGAAGGCAAGGTCGTCGTCGCAGGGACCTCGTGAATCCCCTGCGACACACCATCCCGCGGTGAAGATGAGCAACTCACAAGCCAAGTCGGGTGAGTGATAAATATTCACACCACTTGAAACTTCGTGGATCCTCCTCGAGTCCGCTCCGTATGGCGTAACGAAACAGGAGGAGAAGCCTCCCACCTCCCACGCTGACGTAACCGCATCGGTCCATTTTCCCTTCCGATCTCCCTCGTCCTTGGACCCGCCTGTGGGCGTTGGCGATCGGGCGAGGGCAGTCGTTCGACCAGTAGGATGGGGGTAGGGGGGGGGGG